GCGGAGACCCCTGTGCTGTGCCTGCCCGGCCCCAGGAGGCCCAGTAAAATTTACCTGGTGTGGTAAGTCGCCCTCGGCCGGGCACACAGCACAGCGGAGGAGTCGGGGCGAGGGGGGACTTCAGGCTTCCAGAAGGCAGTGGACTGGACGGGAGGGGGAACGGGGGGAGGCCCGAGGGCGAGGTCACCACCAACCCCGGGCGGTGAGGGGTGCAGGAAGGCCACAGATCCGCCACCCCGCCTCTCAAGCTCCTCGCATCGCCGAGGAGCAAGCGACCAATAAAATCCCGTCATCTCGCGAGACTCCTTGGATTTCTTCACGCGTGCGCGTGTCGTCCGGCCGCCGGTGGCCACGTGACCGGGCGGGAGGGCGCAGGTGCTCCCGAGGCTCGCACGCACGGCAGCTGGACGGCCCTTGGGAACCGCGCTTGCAGGGGACAGGTTAGAGGACTCCGTCACTGCGTACGTTCCCTTCCCTGGCTACTTCTTAGGCACCCCATTTCCCCAAATAAAAAAAAAAATTAAAAAAAAAAAGAAAGAAAAGAAAAAAATCCCACCTTCTGGGCTCCAAAATAAAACATATTTACGGTACGTAATTAAGTTTTAATTAAGATCTCCTCTGGGTATGTGAGCCGGCACACAACTTCCAGCTCACCCAAAGAGGCGGGAAGACGCGACCTGTTGTTTGTGACTGTACAGAAAGCTGCCTGTACACCCAGGCAGCCCCGGCTCTTGCGATTAAGCTGTCATTCTTCCCACGATCTCAAAGGAGCAATACATTTTTAAAGGCATCTTCGGATAATCTAGGCACCTCCTAGTCGAGAAGGGAGGGAGGGGGTCAAGGGTTAGGAATTGTCATTTTCACTGTTTCTTTTCGACTTTGTCTATCAAGAACTATGTCTGTGTATATGGCAAGTGATGTCAAAACCTGAAGGATGATCAGGCACACGGAACTAACAGGCCCTGTTAGGTGGACGTGGTTCTCAGTCATCAGGGCCTTGTATGAATATGAGATGCCGGGGATGCCTGGGTGGCCCAGCGGTTTGGCACCTGCCTTTGGCCCGGGCGTGATCTTGGAGTCCCCGGATGGAGTCCCGCATCGGGCTCCCTGCATGGAGCCTGCTTCTCCCTCTGCCTGTGTCTCTCATGAATAAAATAAAAATCTTAAAAAAAAACAACACAAAAAAAACACAATATGAGATGCCTACTCCCCCCCCCCTTCCTGGTCAAATTAACAACTATTCAGGGATCCCTGGGTGGCGCAGCAGTTTAGCGCCTGCCTTTGGCCCAGGGCACGATCCTGGAGACCCGGGATCGAATCCCACGTCGGGCTCCCGGTGCATGGAGCCTGCTTCTCTCTCTGCCTGTGTCTCTGCCTCTCTCTCTCTCTCTCTCTGTGTGACTATCATAAATAAATAAAAATTAAAAAAAGAGGGATCCCTGGGTGGCGCAGCGGTTTGGCGCCTGCCTTTGGCCCAGGGCGCGATCCTGGAGACCCGGGATCCAATCCCACGTCGGGCTCCCGGTGCATGGAGCCTGCTTCTCTCTCTGCCTGTGTCTCTGCCTCTCTCTCTCTGTGTGACTATCATAAATAAATAAATAAAATTTAAAAAAAGAAAAAAAGAACTATCCAGTCAACAATTAGAATGTCCCAGCATCATCAAGAGACCTAGGGCAAACACCTTTTATCTAAATAGCCATTTGGTTTCTTTGCTACAGGAGGCATCATCTTGCTCAGATGCTAGAAGAAGGTGCAAAGCAAACCAAAGTCTCTCCCAAATTCACCGACAGACTTCAGGGTGCTGAGATGCCGTGATGAGACTCCTGAGCACAAATCTCTCACTTGTCTCAAAGGCCAAGGGTCTGTCCTACTCTCTGAAGACGAAGTTCTACTTCCTCTTCCAGTGTAAATATAACTTGGGTCTTTCTGCACGTTAATACATGTCCCATGCCACAGGGAGGACCATCCTGGAAAGGCCCCAGAGGTCTGAAGTATGGTTCGATTTGGGTACAGATAAAGTAATTAGGAACCGGAATCAGGGTACGTACAAGTTCTGCAGTCTAGCACCTCATTTGTGACTTCAGTTGCAGGTGGTGAAAAAAGAATATGTTTAAGAATTTGCTAAAAAAAAAAAAAAAGAATTTGCTTTCCATAGAATCCAAAGGTTATCACAAGAGAGAAGTCAACGGTACAGCCAAATTGGATTACAATCTTTAAGGTCATGACCAAAATGTCTTACTCATCTCTATGAACCCTCAAATTATTACATAGCAAAGCCACACAGGTATTTGTTGAACAGATTATAATAGAAAGGGAGTTGCTATTTACCTTTTGGATTTTTATAGAGGATTGAGGGAGGGAGTCAGAACTGCACAGAAATGAAGGCAGCTGAATAGATTATTCTCAACCAACGAAACCTGCATAGCAAGTTTCTGGTCCTGAGAGTTCTCTCTTGAGAGTGACTTCAGATTCCCAGTTAGTAGTAGTAGTAGTAGTAGTAGTAGTAGTAGTAGTAGTAGTAGTAAACTGTTTATGGTAGAAGCTGAAGCTACCATTTAGAGCAAGTTAAAAGCACCAGACACTAAGTGAGGCCATTTATGCATATTATTGCTAAACCTGGCAATAATTCAGCAAGGTAGGAATATTCCCACTTCACAGCTGCAGATACTGAGGTTACTGCCCAAGTCAGCTCCTGCCCACCCTATCATCTTCACTGCCAGACCTAGTAAAACAATCTCTAGGTTTTCAGCTTTATGACTTTGGTTTACTGAAAACTCAGAGACGCTATGGTAATTTTCAGAAATCGTTTAAAAGATCTGGTGCTGCTAAAAAAAAAAAAAAAGATCTGGTGCTTTGAAGCAACTATCTTTTTGAACAAGAAGACAAAATAATCTGTTAAGTCATCTTGAATGTTCAGTACAAGAAAAAGTTTGTTCTACTTTTGGAGTCCCCTCTAGTAGCTGAATGCATCTTCTGGAGCCCTTCAAATCACACAAAACAATTACTATTTGTCCTATAGGAAACAAGGCAACACAAGGCTGGCTAAGATGGGGTCCTCATCCTTAAGGAGCTTACTGTCCAGTAGGAGAGAAAAGATGCATACCTCAGGCAATGTTAGAATATGTAAATACTAAAGGTCCTAGGAATCCTCAAAGTACTGACCAAAGCAGAGTCAAGGGACATGAAACTGGAAACAGACCTAAGAGGACCTGCTGGCTGGCACAGGCTAGGGAAGAAAGATCCTTGGGGGGAGGATCACACCCCTGGACTGTGGGAGGATGTGGAGGGGGCTAGGGCTGTGGGCAGTGTGAGGTTCTGCTGCCCAGGATGTGAGGGAACTGTGAATATTCTGAAGGGATCCCTGCTAGGAATCAAAGTGCAATCTTTGTTACCAGGACCTTTGCGCCTGAGCCCCAAGCCTGCCCCTTCCCTGGTAGTGCTCCTGTTGCTTCCTCAGTAAAAATCCTGTGGCGTCCTGCCCCATCATCGGATGAGAGGCAGGAGGCAGTTGTTGACTGCTGGGAGCTCAGAGGGATGAGGTCCTAGTGACCAGGGAGAAACCTCTGGATTGCAGGAAAGCATCTCTTAGTGCTGAGAAAGTGCCTCCTTCACCTCCTCCGTGCTGGGTCCTGTGCTGTAAAGCCCCCCTCACTCTCCTTGAGGTTGGGGGAAACTGTGTCTCATCACCACCCTACACCCTCTGAAGAATATATTCTCATTTTCTAGAGAACTCCCCTCCTTTCTGGTCAGGATCATAACTTCTCTGGACTCTACCACCTCCCCTATGTGAGCCCCCAACACCAACAGCCCCCTTTTTCTATCCCATCCCCAGGGGAACATGGCCCCCTCTGCCTTGGGGCACAGAACCCAGTACCTTCCCCTCCTGGGGCCCATCAGGAGAAGCAGGTAGTACCTAATCATTGTATTAAACTTGGCTTCATGAACCGCCATGGAGAATTCTCACTCATTTCCTGAATCTGGATGAAAACTACTCATGCAACCACAACATACACTCTGGAACATAAATCCAGTTGTCTTCACGGGCCAAGAACGGCTGCTGTCTTGCACACAACTCAAGGACTTTCTCAGTTTTACCCATGTTGCCTGCTGGCTATGGCTATTTGTGAAATTTCTGAATAGTCCAAGAGGGGATGAACCTGGCAAATTCTCTTGGAAAGATTGAGTTCAGATATTCACAATCTAACTGCCTTATAAACCAAAGAACTTGCAGAGGGGCATGGAAAATACTGGAACTCTTGCCCCAAACTCCACGTGTACCATCGCTTCAGACACACTCAGAAGAAATGTGAGATGATCCAAACCAATTAGTGACCTAATTCAAAATGTGGATTTAAAAAAAAAACAAAAAGCAAAATGTGGATTTTTTAAAAATTTTGGGAACTCAATCCACATTGGCATCTTTCTATGAATTTATCATCCTAGCGCAGTGGTGGGTAGCACATAGCCAAGAAAACAGGTATACCTGATGGCCCAAATGCCTGGAACCTTTCTGGAAGGCCCTTTGAGCTGCTAATAAACCACCTGAGGATATGGAAGTACAAAATAGGCTGTGATTCAACCTTGGAAGAGCAGTTGGGGAGAGGACCTTGGACAGAAAGCTCTTGACAGTATTACCAACATGCCTCTCCCCACAGCTATGAAGGAGAAGCTAGATACTTCTAGCAAAAGGACACACCCCTTAGAGACTGCACTGCAGGTGTCACAGGTGCTCATTAACAGTGATTACAACCTTGCGAGGTAGGCATTACTATTTTCAACTAACAGGTAGAGAAACTGAGGCTTCAAGAGGTGAAGTGATCTGTCCAAACTCATCCAGCTCCAAGGTCCTCAGAACCAGGTTTCAAATCCAACTCTTTTCTGACCACCTGGGCCCAATCTACTGCCTTGACCACTGCTGGGCCCCTTGAGCATTCTTTATGCGGAAGCTGTTTCCCTATAAAAAAAATTAATTATTGAAAAGATTTTGCACCTTTCAGCAGCCCAGGAACCACAGATTTTATCAAGGAAGAGGAGGCCAAAGCTGGGGACACTGATCGTCAGCCCAGAAACACAGAGCCTGAGGGTGCTGGGGGCCAGGAGCAGACTGAAATCCCAGCTGCCAGCCAAGGTGCCGGCCCTCAGGGGACCAGGTAAGGACTCCTGGCTCATGCATCTTGGTCCTCAGAATGACTTGTGCTGTTACCTGGTGACTTCTCTATGATTTTTAGAATGTATGTGCTTTTTATGTGGAGGAGAGTGTACCTTAAAATGAAATGCTTGAAAGGTTTTAAGAGCAAACTATTGAATCTAGTTCCTTCGCCAAGAGAGGCTGGCAGGAAAGGGTAGGGCAGGCAGGGAGTCTGTTTTTATTTTTTCTCTCCTTTATTCCACTAAGCATGATTGTGTATGGTTTTGAGTGGAGGCCAGCAATTTGGCTTCTGGAGAGAGCATCTGGGTGGTGGGTTGCAGATGGCAGGGGGTGCGGGTCAGGGTGGGGAATGAGGGGTAGAGAAAGCAATGTGCAATTCTGGGACTATCTCACCTGGCCCAGGAGGGGTGGATGGGTGCCTGTGGGTGGCAGACTCCTCTCGTCCCACAGGGATCTTCTCATCTCCAACCCGGGATGTCAAGATCTCAATGTGTAAGAAATAACATCAAAATAAATATATGCTTTATTTCCAAACACTGGTTTGGTGGGTACCTCCTCTTTTAGTCCTGAGCATCCCAAGGCCCAAGACATGCCACTCCACTGACCCATGTTACCCTCCTCTATGGTGGCAGAAGAAATAGGACCCAAGGAGCCTCCATGGGACTCAAAGTAACACTTGACAGCCAACTTTGCCATGGACCTAGTCTTCCCCTTGGAGAAACCATCAATAATCCCACTTCCTCACCACCCAATGAACACAATAGGCTTTATGTTAACGTGTGAAATATGCTTTAGTGGACACTTGTAAGAACGTGATAGTGGTGTGGATGGAATTATGGAATTATGGGCAACAAGAGCATATGTGAATCTGTAGCAACCAGATGTCACAGGCTCCTAGTGATCTAACACTTCCTGTTAAGAAGGGCAGATCTCCCTTCTAATTCTTCCCGGATCTTCTTCCTCCCAGCCTTGGAGGCTAGGCTGGTCAAGTAGACACTCTGAGTTATAGTTCCCTTGTCTAAAAATCAAGATAATGAAATCTACACTGCCTTGCTATAATAACTAAAGGAAATAATACATTGACCAGCAGCTAGCTCTAGTGGGCAAAAACTACTATTATTTTCTCTCCTGTCATCTCCCCAGTGGCCCTAGTATACCCCTGAATATTATTTGAAAGGTGAGGTTCCGCATGCATGAAATGTTCCCAAACCCATGAGGCTCCTACAATCCTCTGCCTGTACCCAAAAGACATCTTCTGTTATCCTGAGATTCCCTGAGAATTTGTCCCAATTTTCTGGTATATATGGTTTTATATAAGGGTAAGGGCTCCTTGTCTTTCCCCAATTTTTTCCTCACTAGTCTCTACTTCTTTCTCTCTCATTCTAAAGTGGTTTGCATAAATTAGAGTAGGAGCCAGATGTTTGAATTATATCAGGGAGAGATTTGAAGCAAATGTGACAGAGGTAATATATAGAAAGCTCTTACAAATCAATAAGAAAAATACAAATACCTAATAGAAAAATGGGAAGAGATGTAGCAGACAATTTCACAGAAGAAATGCAGGTAGCTAATAAACATTTGAAAAAAAAAAGTTGAATCTCACTAAGTAATAAATGTAAATTTTCATGAGATCAATTTGGCCCTCCAAATTGGCTGAGGTTTTTAAAACAATATTCAATACTGGTAGTGAAATGAATAGCATTTCCTGGGCACTGTTGTGTCAGGTGTTATGCCAAGCACTTGGCATGAGTGGCTGGTAACACAGCTACGAGAGATGCTTTCAAATCCTACCTGTAGGGTAATGTGGTACAAACTGGCATTTGGCAACATGTGTGAAAAGTCTTCAGAAGGGTCATTTCTTTTGATGTAGCAATTCCATGCCTGTGAATCTATTCTAATAAGACATATAGTCAAAGATGTGTGAACAAGGACATTCATCACGGTGTAATTTGCACAGCAAAAACCGTGAAACAACTTATATACCCAAGAATAGAAGAGTTACATTATGACACATTTATATAATGTATCTTAACCTGTTCTTAATATCATGTTCTTTTTTTTTAAGAATTTTATTTATTTGACAGAAGGAGAGAGAGAGAGAGAGAGAGAGAGAGAGAGAGAGAGAAGAAGCAGAGGGAGTGTCAGGTAGAGGGAGAGGGAGAAGCAGGCTTCCTGCTGAGCAGGGAGCCCAACATGGGGCTCAATCACAGGACCCGGGATCATGACCTGAGCTGAGGGCAGATGATTAACCGACTGAGCCACTCAGATGCCCCCTTTTAAAAGCATGCCCCTCATGCTTTTAAAGAATAATTGAATTTATGGCAGGAGATAATGCTCACAATAAAAAGCTGAGGGAAACAAAGCAGGACATAAAGTTGTATATACCCCAATATTCCAATATTTTAAAAAGTATTTCTAGGTAAAAGAGCTCAGACTTATAAATTCAGACGCCTTCAGGGAACAGGCAGGGATGGCAGGAGAAACAGATAATCAAGGCTATGGGGATGGAGGTAAACCAGAACATACAGGCTCTACCTAAAGGTGGTTAACTCAGTGTTCAAAGACTGAGTCAAAGCACTACTGTAGGATGAGAATAGCCCAGAGGTCTTGAGTTGGCAGCCAACCCCTGAATTCCAGAACAGGAGCAATGGCCATCTAGGTTTAGGATTATGGGATTTTTTTTTTCTTCTTCTTCATCTTCTGAAAGTTCCAAATTTCCCCCAAAATGAATAGTGACTACTTGTATAAACAGAGGAGAAAGTTAAAAGTATATATGGCTGTTGGAATGTAGGAAAGTACAGGTTAGTACTGGTTGGTCAAGCACATGAAGAAGTCTAGACCAAAGACATAGCCTGAGGGCAGACAGATGCTTTTTCTGGTTTGTCTTGTTGTATCTAGAACCCTCAGCCGCACCTAGTTGAACCCCTGGAGGCCTTCCCTTCTGAGCCGAAGTCCACACGGGGCCCCAGAGGCATTCAGCAGAATCTGTAAGGCCTGGTCTATGAATAGCACATCCTGGCATATCACATGGGATGTTTATTCCCAACCCCAGAGCTATGAAATCTGCTCCCTATCTGATAAACGTAAGAAATCGGGTTAAAATAGCATAAATATAGAATGGCGCAGTCTGCCACCTTTAGGGGGAAACATACCAGGGAAGGCTGATTGAACCTTTAAAGAGAAAGGCAGCAGTGGTGACAAAGAAGGGTGAAGATGCATTCCCTGGGGTGTTTTGGGATCCACAGGAGCTGCCCTGCAGCATTCAGAAGCCAGTGCAGCTGGGTGACAGCTCCATGGCTTCCTTGAAATAAGCTTGTGGTTCCTGTTGAGTGTCTAGTTCCATTTTTTAGAAGCTGCCCTAGCTGCTTATTTTGCTTAGGTGTCTCCTGAAGCCCAAACTAAATTGGCTCAGGGCAGAGAGACAGCTGTGTGTTCAGGGACAGACCAGAAGTTCCAGCACCTGTTAGCTAATCTCCAAGGCCCTTTATCAAATTCAAATTGAAAAGTAATCCATCAGAGCCTACATTTCCAAATCTTCTATATCACCTCCCACCACCCCAAAAAAATTATCAAGAGAATTCAATTCAGTTGGTCAGATAGAAGCATTTGTCCCTCAAAATGCGATCTGAGTGGACATACCAGCTCCTCTCCTATACATACACAGCCAGATGCTCAGAGCCTCCTGAAATTGCTGATACATCTCTTACTGGAGTTTATAAAACCCACGAGGGGCCTGATAGGAGAGCTTAACTGATTTCTGGAAGAGCTGATGAGTAAAAATTCACACTGCGTTGCTGAGTGTCCCATGCAGTTAACAATAAAAGAGGCTTACGGAGTATTAGGACATTAGGAACGGGTGCTCCCCGGGAGGCCCTCAATTAAAGTGAGTCAGTATTGACTTGGCCCTTGACTGGGCCAGATGCTCCGAGGATTTGCAAATCAAATCCTTGCCTGAGCTAGTACCACACAGGCCTTCTCCGAACCCACAGAGTTCTGTCCCTTGTTGAGGTGGATGGCTTTAGAAGCTGAATGATAAGGACAGCAGCGCCTCCTTAGATCCTGCAGGCCAGCATGAGGGGAGCAGGACGTGAAGGCTGATGCCTGGAGGGAACAAAGGAAGTGGAATCAGAAAAGAACTTTCAGTGTCCTATCCGCATCGAGAGGGTAAAAACCCTGAACGGTGCACACAACCTCACAGTGAATTAAACGGATTTTCACATTTTCACATGACAATTGCAAGTCCAGCCAGTTTCTCTATGGGAATGCGGGGCTGGGATTAAGAACACAAGCCAGAGTGTCAGGCAGGCTTGAATTCGAATGACGACACCATCACTTAGTAGAAATATGATGATGGGTAAGTTATGTGACCTCCCTAAGCCTTGGTGTCCTCAATCATAGTGTGGTGTGATTATTTCATAGGGTTGTGAGGCCCAAATGTGTGTATGTAATACAGTTAGAATGGTGCCTGGACTATTAGGAGGTAGTACTTATTCACTAGTTTTATAATTTATATTTTATATTTTTTTATTTTTTATTATTTTTTATTTTATAATTGTTTTAAATATTTTATTTGAGAGAGAAAGACAGAGATAGTGACAGAGATAGCAAGAGCCAGGAGGAGAGGGAGAAGCAGGCTCCTCACTGAGCAGGGAGCCTGACACAGGGCTCACTTCCAGAACTCTGGGATCATGACCTGAAGTGAAGGCAGATGCTTAACCAACTGAGCCACCCAGGTGCCCCTATAATCATTATTTTATAAGGCAAGTTTTGACCAAGTGATTTCACCCCTACAAAGCTGTGTGTGAAGCAAGAGCATCATAAACATACGTTGAATGAATCCAGATGAGAAGGCACTGGTGGTTTTTGTAGAATGTGTTCCTGGTTTTCCTTCTCTATAAATACTAGAATGAAAACCATGATTTGAGAGATTGACCCATTATCAGCCCTGGCTGACTTGGACTAGACAGCCCTCCCAAAGCTTCTCCAGAAAAGACCTCTTTTTTAAAAATTTTTTTAAAATTTATTTATTTATGATAGTCACACACAGAGAGAGAGAGAGAGGCAGAGACACAGGCAGAGGGAGAAGCAGGCTCCATGCACCGGGAGCCCGATATGGGACCCGATCCCGCGTCTCCAGGATCGCGCCCCGAGCCAAAGGCAGGCGCCAAACCGCTGCGCCACCCAGGGATCCCAGAAAAGACCTCTTTTTAAACATGAGAGACAGAGAGAGAGAGAGAGGCAGAGACATAGGCAGAGGGAGAAGCAAGCTCCCTGCAAGGAGCCCAATGTGGGACTCGATCCCGGATCCTGGGATCATACCCTGAGCTGAAGGCAGATGCTCAACTACTGAGCCACTCAGGTGTCCCTCCAGAAAAGACCTCTAATCTCAGGGTCACCCTGTCTCCCCAGAACCAGCCTGAGCTCCGTAAATATACAAAAGGAGAATCCAAGAAGCAAGTCCTCTTTTTGTACCTCCAGCCATTTTAACCATGCATATTTTCTTCTCTAGGCTTCCTGGTTGCCTTGAGGGACTCTCACCCTTGGTGTTAGAGGTCTTTCATCCATGAACACCTATAAGAGAATGATAAACTTGTGTGGTTTTTTTTTTTCCATGTAGATCCAATAATTCAACAAGAGGGCCCAATGTGGGCAAGTGACACTAAGCTGAAGAGGCCAACTCGAGAGAGAAGAAATGTAGTCTCATCCTCCCAGCTAATGACCATGACTGAGAATACCTCTGAACGAGCCAAAAAAGGAGACTCAAGTGCCCTTTCCCAGAATGAGCCACATCCAGCCCTACCTCAGGTCTTCCAAGGAACAAACAGCCCTCAGGTGTTGAGTGAGTCCTTGAGACCACCACTCCTAACCACCACCATGGGAGGACCAAGAAGGGCACCATTTAGGTTCCAAGATGAAGATTTTTATTCCATTTTATCATTAGACCCTGGAGGAGAAAGTGATAACACTGAAGAGGAGACCCTCATAGCCGAAGAACTTTTGTTGGTTGGTATGCGCCCACCTCGTTCTCCTCCCAATCATAAGAGAAGTCGATTTCTTGGGACATTGGCCACACAGGACAAAAATAAAAATTTTGAAGAAAATCCTGAAAATTGCAGAGCTAATTCTGTAAGAAGAAATGAGTCCAGTCATGGCTCATTAAGAATAACCAATGCAACGGAGCTAGTGACAGAGCCACCTCCTCTTGGGCCAAGGGTGTTTCAAGACCCTGAGCCACCTAATGGGGGGTCTCCTAGAGAGAATGACAATGGTAATGGTGAACACAAGAACAGCACCTTTCCTTCATGGGACACCAAATCCGAAGCTAGTCTAGATGGTGACCTCAATGCTGAAAATGTACTTAGAGATTGTACTTCAGTGGAAGATAGGCCTGGTACTCACGATTATGAAAGAGATTGGCATGCCTATTTAAACAGTTCTAGTAATTCTCTTGACTATTTTCTTTCTGGCAGACCAACAGCTCCAAGATCACCAGTGAATTCATCTTATAACATTCCTGGCTCATTAATGCATTCTGCTATGAGAGAGGATATTCCAGTAGGCTTGTCAATGTCGTCAACGTTTATTCACAGTGCAGACTCAGAGGGAAACTCAAGATTTAATGTTCGTCGACCACTGTCCCCCATTAGAAATAGGAATCCATTTGCCAGTGCTGAAAACCAAAGTTATTTTCCAGTAAACAGTGTACATGAATTTGATGTCAGGGGAGCAGATGTTACTTTAACAAGCCCATCACAGGGGGCTCCATTATATGCAGAAGACCTCTTACTAAATTCTCAAAGCAGTTTGTCCTTTGTGGAAACTTCCAGCTCCTCTCCATCAAGAATGAATTTACAAGGCCATTTGCATGTGCCTGGGTCTCTGCAAGAAAACATACCTTTTACTTTCTTTGCAGTCTCTGATTTCCCAAATCAAAGTGATAATGGAAACAGAATGGCAGTCTCTGCTTTCAAGGATGAAAAGGAAGCCATTAAGATAAAGGCAGACCCTGAGAAACTCAAGAAATTACAAGAAAGGTAAGGGATTTTCATAATTAGATATATATACTTTTTTTTATTCCATGTTTCCCAGGTAGAAATAAGCAGTGCCTTCATTAGAGCATCATGGGAACTTTAAATCATAGATAGGCCCTTCTCTGGCATTTTAATGATTGCTTATATGGAGGAAATTGTCTATTTTGTTGCTCATAAAATATTTGTGTATGAGGAAAACTTTGATGTTCTGGTTCAATCTCTTCAAGATTCCCAAAGTGTTTTTTCCTTGAGTACCATAACTTTAAGGAAGGAAAGTTTGCTAGACATAAGGGGTTTTTGACTGCTACAAAGGGCTAGCTAGCTCTTCTCACCAACAATTAGGAACCAGGATTTTTTACAAAAAGGCTGCTATCTCCCCAGAGAGTGAACCACTCCACACTTGAAATTCACTAGCTCTCTCTCTTGGGACTTTGTGCAAATCCAACCAACAGTTCTAGAATTTGAATCTTTCCAACCAAAAGACCAGTCCCAACCAGTTACCGTGGTTACCTGAGTTCTCTGCAGGGCCACTGTGCTGGGGTAACTACTGCTTCCATTTTCTGTCTTCTTTCTCTTGCATGGGAGAGAAATAAGATCTTTTTTGTGGATCGCCTGTTTCTTTGATCTTCACTGTCTTGTAAGGTGATTTGGAGATGTTTCACAACTACGAAATTTGATACCGTGTAAAGCCATCATTAGACACCAAGTCAAGGATTTGACCCTTTCCTTTATGATGGGTGTTACCACTCCCTAGTGTTGGCTTACGGATCTAGAAATGGATTCTTTGAATGCAAGCCTTCCTTCTGTATGTTAGTACTGCTCATTTGGGCCATTAATTGTCCAGTTGATATTCATTCACAAGTGGAAAAATTCCATGGCAATGAATGAGAATGCAGGAGGCTAAGACAGGACACAGGATGCACCCCCGACTACTCCTCTAGATCTATTATCCAACTGCAAGAATGAGTAACTTTCCTGTTGGCAGGACCTTTTCTTTTCCATATTATGCAAGTTACCAGCACACTGACTCATGGTGAAGGACCAAAAGGCCTCACACACACCCATCTATACCTACCCAGAAATATAGCTTGAGACCCCCTGGTCAGGAGTCTAGACTTCCACCATCCCAAAGTGATGCCTTTGGGCTAAAAATGATTTCTTTTAAAAATTCATCCACTTCTCAGTGTGGCAATGCATTAAATAGCTATGAGTTGTGTACTTTCTTTATCAGACACCCTTTTTCTCTATATATAATAAACCTTATGCTTTTATTATCTCAAAAATGTTCACTTTAGGAAATATGGAAAATATAAACTTAAAGGAAAAATCACCTGTAATCCTATAATCCAGAGATAAGCACTACAAAAAATTTCATTTCCTGCCTTTATCTTTGCATATAAATGCAATTTTTAGTAAACATTGGCTCATATTTTATAATATGCCTCATTTTAATATTTCAAGCCCATTTCTCAAAGCCACACTTTGAGAAAAAATTTCCTTTGGTTAGTTACTTTAATGCATACAAATAATTAGAGCACTCTAAATAAAACAAAACCCAAATATCCCTGTGCCTACCTTCCAGCTAACAGAACTTTACTGGAGCTCTTGAGCCCCTCACCCACCCTATTTCATTTTCCTCCCTCATCTACACCCTCCTAACCCCTTCTGCCCCTAGGAAACCATTCTTGCATTGCAAGTGTCATTCTTATGCTTTTAACTTTTTATTTTATTTTTATTTTAAATTTTTATTTATTCATTCATGAGAGACACAGGGAGAAAGAGAGAGAGAGAGAGAGAGAGAGAGAGAGAGAGAGGCAGAAGCAGGCACCATGCAGGAAGCCTGACGTGGGACTCGATCCTGGGACTCCAGGATCACACCCTGGGCTGAAGGTGGCGCTAAACCACTGAGCCACCCAGGGATCCCCTGCTTTTAACTTTTTAAAATTTATTTATTTAGGGATCCCTGGGTGGCGCAGCAGTTTGGCGCCAGCTTTTGGCCCAGGGCGCGATCCTGGAAACCTGGGATCGAATCCCACATCGGGCTCCCGGTGCATGGAGCATGCTTCTCCCTCTGCCTATGTCTCTGCCCCTCTCTCTCTGTGACTATCATAAATAAATAAAAAAATAAAAATAAAATAAATAAAAAAATAAATAAAATTTATTTATTTATTTTAAGTAATCTCTACACCCAATGTGGGGCTCTAACTCACAACCCCAAGATCAAGAGTCACTCCTCCAACTGTGCCAGCCAGGTGCCCCTCCTTTTATTTTAATTTTGTTGTTGTTGGAAGTGTTTTGCTTTCTGGCTTCCCCGTAGGGATATATATTTATATATATTCCTAACAATATGTTGTGCATACTTTTTAATTCTGTAGAAATGTTACCCCTATTTCTGAACTCTGTAGAAATGGAATATCTATTCTTCCACAATTTGCTTTTCCCCCTAGCATCACTAGCAAGAGGCATCCTTGTTGATATTTTGGCTTTATTTTGTTCACTTTCCCGACTACAGAGTATTCCATTATATGAATATACCACAATTTGGCATTTTCCTGTTGATGGGCATTGGGGTTCTCTGCTGTTTTCTGCAAACAGTGCCGCATAAACATTCTTGCAAATGCCTCCTGGTGCACATGGGAAGAGTTCTCTGGGATATTTATCTTGGGGTGGGATTGCTGAGCTAAAGGGTAGCACACCTTCCACCATGCTAAATAATGAGTGTACTGTCTCACTAGTAATATATACTGTTGTGCATCCTTGCCAGCACTTACATTGATTGGCTTTTCAAAATTTTGCCTCTCTAATGAGAAAAAAATGATATTGTGGCCTTAATTTACATTTAATTTCATTGACTGTTAATGAGTTTAGGCATTTTATGTGCTCTTTTAAATGTCAAATGACCATTTGTGTTTCCTCTTTTGTAAAATACTCATTTATATCTTTTGTCCATTTTTCCTTTAGAATATTTCTCTCTTGTTTTAGGAGTCCCTTATACATTCCAGTCACTGATCTAATCCTTTAACAGTTATGTGTTGGAAATATCTTTTTGCAATTTGTAGTTTGTCTTTTCTCTTTCTTGATATCTTTTAATGAAAATTCTTAAAAAAATAAATAAAAATAAATTCTTAATTTTAATGAAGTCAAATGAATTCATCTTATGGATTGTGATTTGTATCTTCTTGTCTCGATGAAGAAATCCTTTCCAACTTAGGGTCATTATGATAGTCCTCCTATACTTTGTAAAATCTCCATAGTGTTACTTCGCACACTTAAGAGTATGAAATGAGTTTTGGACTTGAATGTGAAGTGAGGTTATGCATGATGAATGTGAAACTGTCCCAGGATCTTTCCCCGCTAAACTGAAAAGTCATGTCTGGGGACACCTGGGTAGCTCAGCAGTTGAGCATCTGCCTTTCGCTCAGGGTGTGATCCTGGGGTCCTGGGATCAAGTCCTACACTGGGCTCCTTGCATGGAGCCTGCTTCTCCCTCTGCCTGTGTCTCTGCCTCTCTCTCTGTGTCTCTCATGAATAAATAAATAAAATCTTAAAAAAAAAAAAAAGAGTCATGTCTGTCATATAACTATAAATGACCATGTTTGTTTCAGAGCTCTCTATTCTGGCCTGTTCTTTTTTGTTCTTTTCTAATCCAATACCACATCATCTTACTGTCTGTGACTTTTGTATATTTCGGTAGCCAGTGGCACAAAGCCTCCCTCCCCATTTTGTTCCTAAAGAGTCCTTGACTATAGGGGCGCCTGGGTGGCTCAGTTGATTAACCTGCTGCCTTCAGGTCAGGTCATGATCTTGGGATCAAGCCACACATTGGGCTCCCTGCTCAGTGGGAAGTCTGCTTCTCCCTCTCCTTCTGTCCCTCCCCCTGCTCAAGCTCTCTCACTGTCTCAAATAAATAAATAAAATCTTAATAAATAAATAAATATTTTAAAAAGAGTCCTTGACTATATATGTTTCAGAATCAGCTTATTGGGACTTTCACTGAAACTGTGTTGAATCTACAGATGATTCTGGGGGAAAACTGACATCTTGGAAATACTGAGTCTTTGAAAAATGTATCTCTTCTTTTGTTTGTGCCCATAATGGAAAACTATAATTCTGTTCCTCTTCATTGACTTCCCTTTCCTGGGGAGAAAGGTCTTTGAAAAAATGGAGCACATACTTCTATTCCAGAGCAATGCCCATTTCTTCCCCTTCTTTGATTTTAGTCTCTAGTCAGTTTCCTTTCCTTGACCAGACAGTCCTCAGTCCATGAGGATTCTAAAGAATAAGTCTTAGGCTTCTTAAGAGACTCCTTACATGTCCATCAACAGGCTAGTCTTCACTCATTATTTATTAAACACAAACATATTTGCTTACATTTTCATAATTCCATCTGCATCAGATTCCAGCAGCTTACCTTCTGGAATGTTGGCATAATTTTTTGGCCAAGTGTTATGCTATCGGTGAGTTCATGGCTAGGTTCATTGGTTCATCCCCATCCCAACCAACCTCCATTGAGTGATATTTTTGTGCAAATGCTTCCCCAGGCACTAGATGCTCTTTACAATCTGCAGAACAGTTGCACTGCCATCATGGCATCTGGCCCACAGCTCAGTCAGGTAGGTGGCAGAGGTATCATCATCACATGGCTTTACACATGAGGAAAACCCAAGAAGTTTAAGTAACTTGTCTAGAGTCATCAAGCTCACAAGTCTCAGAGGCAGACCTCAAACACAGGCCCTCTGCCCGTAGACCCTGTGCACTTACCAACACGGTGTACTACCAACTCCTACACAATGGCTGCGCCTGGGAGAGGGGGTCCCAGTTTTTCCTCTGGTTTTCCTCTGCAGCCCCATCCTTGGCCTCTGGTTTTCCGGTGGCAGTGGCCATTCTCATGGGCAGCTCGCATGAGTCAGTCACTGCTGAGGAGCCTGATAACAGGATCCCATGCACCTGGAAGAACTTTCAGGAGGGTTGGAGGGAGCAGTGGGTGATCCTGGGGAGCCCTGGCAGGGCCTCCCCCTTTAATGCCCTGGGAAATGGTATGTGTAGCTGTAGTTTGCAGAACCTGCAACCGTGCAGACCCTTGGTCATCAGGGCTTGTTTTCCATTTAGTCTCCTGCAGGAGGACTCAGAGGAAGAGGATGGAGACTTGTGTCGCATCTGTCAGATAGCCGGGGGTTCCCCAACTAACCCCCTCCTGGAGCCCTGTGGCTGTGTGGGCAGCCTACGGTTCGTTCATCAGGAGTGCCTGAAAAAGTGGCTGAAAGTGAAAATAACATCAGGTAGGCAGGGAAGGAAGCATGGGAATGTGCCTCGACTTATAATCAATGAGACGCCTGGTGTAGGATGCAGAGCCTTGATGACATCTCCCTCTGCCCCGTGAGCCATGGCTGGGAGAACTATGCCCCTGAACTCAGGGGCTCCTGCTCACAGCCCCAGTGGAAAGCAGAAGGATGAAATGCTGCCTTTAAATTATGGGAGGGAGAGGAATTTGCTTTCCAAGTCTGAGAGAAGAATCCTGGAATATACTTGTGGATCCTCCCCCACCGGCACCTGAGCAGAGAGGCTAAGATGCCTTCCCAGGAGGAAGGAAACTAAAATAGGTCAATGGTCGAACCTCAGCAAGTGCACAGCAAGCCATGCCAATAATGGACACCTGGCAAAAACTGGTCAGCTTCCTTTTATTTATGGGGGAAGAAGGATGTCATCTAAGAAACTATGCAAAGCTGCATTTTTTGCAAGAGGAGCAGGAAGAGAGCCCTGATCTAATTTTCTAGAACCGTCTTAGATTAGGAGATTTCCATGGGCTGGCTTTGTCAGCCCTGTCTTTTGCAGATCTTGTAACTGGATATACAGCCCTTTCTCAGCTCCCTGGGGAGGTTATAACCTAAATACTGCCACATGGGTAGTAGGTCAGCTGGCATTTTTTTGGCAGAGAATCGGGGGGGTTCTTTAAAACTTGGTTTTGGGAAGAAAGGCAACTTGAAAAACAAAACAGGAAACAGCAATGCAAGAACTCAATGACAAATAGCCACTGTGTCTTTCAGACACATCTGAAAACCTTTTACCCCATAGCCCAGATCCTTTTTCTCTCCTCTTCCACATTCTCCTCCTTGATTATCACTCTTCCAGGCAGCCCAGGGAGACTTAAGAGCTTCATCCCAACCCCACAGCATATGGCTGTGCCCCCTGGAAAGAGAGAGAGAGAGAGAGAGAGGAATGAATAGTGGGATGATCAGACCAACTGTGTCCTCCCTGGTCCCTTTTCCCCCCATGAGCATCTTCCCGGGCAGGAGAAACCTACACCCCCTACCAAGCTGCTGAAACACATCTCCATGTAGTGTGCTGGGTTCTCAATCCTGCAGACAGGGTAGAAACAAGGGGATCTCGGCTACTAATGATCCTGCCATGCAATGCTTTATTTAAAAAAAAAAAAAGATTTTATTTATTTATTCATGAGAGACAGAGAGAGAGGCGGAGGGAGAAGCAGGCTCCATGCAGGGAGCCTGACCTGGGACTCAATCCCGGGTCTCCAGGATCACACCCTGGGCTGAAGGTGGCATTAAACCACTGAACCACCTGGGCTGCCCTACCGTGCAGTGTTTTAACTTACTACAAATTCGGGCCAATTAAACATTTAACGCAGGAAAAAAATCGCTCGTGAAATGTGTAATGGAAGCCCTGCTAAATGCTTGTAAACGCCAATGTCAGTAGGGGTGTGCTGAGTGGGATCAGATCGGAAGACACAAGGGACACTCAGAATCCTAAAGTATTATAGAATGGCTCTAAAAAAAAGAAAAAACAAGCAAACAACACGCAGACATGAGATTACCGTTTATCCTTGTCTCTTGAAGTTCTCTATTATTTACTCTTTCTTTATGTCCCCCAGTGAAGCAAAGTAGAAAGTAGAATTGAAGTCTAAAGCTGCACAAGCCCTATCTTTACCAAATAAATGTGTTAGCTAATCAGTCCTGTTTCTCTAACGCATAAACTAAAGTGGCACATCCTTAGCAAAAGTGCAGCTCCTAGGCGAGGGGAAAAGACACAGAACACAACGTTTGCTTCAACACAGCACAGTTCCTGCATCTTCCAGTTTTGCTTTGAGGACTAGGATAAGTAGAGGAAAAGTGCTGATCTAGAATGCATGTTTAAAAAAAAAGAAAAGGGGATCCCTGGGTGGCACAGCGGTTTAACGCCTGCCTTTGGCCCAGGGCGTGATCCTGGAGACCCAAGATCAAATCCCATGCCAGGGCTCCTGGTGCATGGAGCCTGCTTCTCCCTCTGCCTATGTCTCTGCCTCTCTTTCTCTCTGTATGTGTGTCTATCATAAATAAATAAAAATTAAAAAAAAGAAAAGAAAAAAAGCCCACTGTAACAAAGGAAATTTCTTTTCCCAGATGAGGCTGAGCTCCTTCTCAGGTGCTGGCCGCAGATACTGCTGGGTTAGTTCCCACACATGGCCCCTGGCTCCCTTGCTCTCTTAGGTGGGAAGTCACCTGGGTGAGAGTAAAGGCAGATTTTTAAACCACAGCTGAGAATAGCTTCTGCCATCAATTTGGTCCTCGTATATTTATTTGCTTGGACCTGTGTTAGATCTGTCCAAAAAAAAAAAAAAAAGAGCAATAACAGAGGACAATATTCACTCTTTTTGGCAACCACCTGTGTTACAGACTCAGCCTCCATGTAGCGATTCCAATTTTATGAACCAGTATGTTTATATTTAAACAGAAAGCAAGACCTGTTATTTAAAAGTCCTGGGAATTTCGCTTATATGAAGCTTGCAAAATAATGAAAATGATTATGAAGGAAATTTTCCAGATCTCAAAATTTTCCTTTGTTGCAGTGGGCTTTTTTTCTTCTTTTCTACAGAAGATGGCTGACTTAAAAAAAAAAAAAAAGTCGCTAAAACTCAGAATTCATAATACACATGAGTTCATTCCCAAAATGTCAACACCAAGAGACCAGAGTGTCAACACGTAAAGACCCAGGGTTATATGTAACAAAGAATTCTTTAATTTAAGGAGCAGATCTAGGTGCTGTGAAAACTTGTGAGATGTGTAAGCAAGGCCTGCTGGTTGACCTGGATGATTTTAACGTGACGGACTTCTATCAGAAGCACCAGCAATCCCGGGTAAGAGAGGCTCACACCACTGTCTCCGAAGGCAAAGTCCATTAGCGGCACAAGGCTGGAAGCAAGGCTTTCCCTGATAAGACTATAGAAGGCCTGTGCACGGGATGAGTCTAGGAGTGTCCCCTAAGGTCACTTCTCCAAGAAGGTGTGCTATTACGTCAGCCCACAGTGCGGGGAGGGGTAGGGGCGTTCAAAGGTCTTACCCCCAGGGTTGAGGTCCCACTATTGTTAGGGATAAAAGTAGGAAGCCACAATAACTGACTGGACACAGAAACAGGAATAGTCTGGCAAGCTCCACACCCAGATTCGCGGAATATAAAATAGCAAAAGGGGGAAAAAATCAGGGTCTTGAAGGAAATGGTCCACAATTTACATATCAAGTAACTCTAGGTTAATAAGAAATTGCTTTACTCAAGGTTAATAAAAAGGTCGTTAGCACCTAGTGTGTGCTTTTTAATACCCGGTGAATTAATTCTCCTGGGGTATTTAGATTGCAATTCTTTTTTTTTTTTTTTAGAGATGTTATTTATTTATTAAATATTTATTTATTTACTTATGATAGACATAGAGAGAGAGAGGCAGGGACACAGGAGGAGGGAGAAGCAGGCTCCACGCCAGGAGCCCGATGTGGGACTCAATCTCGGGACTCCAGGATCACACCCTGGGCCAAAGGCAGGCGCCAAACTGCTAAGCCACCCAGAGATCCCCTAGAGATGTTATTTATTTATGAGAGAGCGAGAGTATGTGTGCTCCCTTAAGCAGTGGGAGGAGCAGAGAGCCCCACTCGGGGCTCGATCCCAGGACCCTGGGATCACCACCTGAGCCAAAGGCAGATGCTTAACCAACTGAGCTACCCAGGTACCCCTGTTTTGCAATTCTAATGCCGTGAAAAAGTTAACCATAGGTGGGCAGGTGATTCAGGCTCAGAATAATAGTTAATTGTTATCAGGCAAACAATCCTTTATTTAGAACTACAATGCCTAGGGAATCCCTGGGTGGCGCAACAGTTTGGCGCCTGCCTTTGGCCCAGGGCGCGATCCTGGAGACCCGGGATCGAATCCCACGTCGGGCTCCCGGTGCATGGAGCCTGCTTCTCCCTCTGCCTGTGTCTCTGCCTCTCTCTCTCTCTCTGTGTGACTATCATAAATTAAAAAAAAAAAAAAAAACCTACAATGCCTAATATGGAAGCCATAAGTCCCATATGGCTAAAGAACAAGTGGCTACTTCCACTCAAGATGTATTGGGTGTCTGGGTGGCTCTGTCAATTAAGCATTTAACTCTTCACCTCAGCTCAAGTCTTGATCTCAGAATCATTGAGTTCAGCCCCATGTTGGGCTCCATGCTGGGTGTGGAGCCTATTATATGTATATAAGTAGGCAAATAAATAAGTACATAAATAATCATTCTTCAGAGGAGTCACTTTGGCTTTCAGATCTTTAGCTTGTGTCCAGACCTAAAGCACAGCTGAGTCAAAATGCCACATATGGGTCTGGGCAATTGTCTAGTTACCTTTTGAAAATCCTAAGGTTGTGGGCACCTGGGTGGGTCAGTGGTTGAGTGTCTGCCTTCAGCTCAGATCATGATCCCTGAGTCCTGGGATAGAGTCCTGCATTGGGCTCCCTTGCAGGGAGCCTGCTTCTCTCTCTGCTTATGTCTCTGCCTTTCTCTCATGAATAAATACATAAAATCTTTTTTAAAAAAGATAAAATCCTAAGGCTGCTAGACCAAAGAATAAACTATTGATGAGAATGAAAGACTTGACCAGCACAACCAAGGAATATGATACAATGGGGGATAATGCCACACCAGCATTGAAGAGGTTGGGCATTAGGAAGTGGAAAGGAAGGGAGGGGGAAAGGAAAGGAAGAAAGAATTTCCTGAGAAATAAATGTACTTCAAGTCCATCCGTTTTGAGGCCCGAGGGTTTTGAATCACTTGGTCACAACCCCAGGCACTGAGAGGAGAAACAGAAGTGCTTCTGGAGTCACGCTACTGAGAGGAACCGGGCCCCATGGGCGCCTGCGGTCAGGGTACCAGCTAGGGTGCAAACAGCTTCCATGTGGTCATCTCAAAGATTATTTCAGGAAATAGAGCCCCTAGGACTGACCGGGAAGGACACGTCCAGACATGGCCAGGTTCTGTGGCATCCTACCAGAATGGTCTGCAGACATCACCAACACGGGACAGCCCAGGGCAATGCCTTACCTAGTAAAGACACCTGTTGGTTCCAAGCATCTCTGCATTGTTCGCCCTCTGTGAAGATGCTGCCACAGGGCCCTGTTGGGTTTACCCATGGTATTTGTAGAATTGACTCACTACTGGCACATTTTTCCAGCTATACTACAATGTTTGCACTCAAGTAGCCAGAGGCAGCGTGCCCCATGGAACAGCACACCCATTTTGCTAAAGTGTGCATCTGAATCTCGTTCCCTTCCCCAAAGTTGCTGTGTGAAACTACACAAACTCTCTGGCTCTCCTTTCTCTCGCCTGTGGGAAGTAGGAGATCATTGTTCCCCGGCAGCATGAGATGGGGAAAAACTTGAGTATATCCTCTAATCCGATGCCTGTGGAGATAAAGGTGCTCAGGGAATGAGAACCGCCATGTGACAGACCCAGGGATGCCCAATCTCTCTGGACTCAAAAAAGGCAGATAAGTGCACCAGGACCAGGCTAGAGCCCATTAGTGAAAAAAGCCAACCGGTCCACGCAGGGGTAAGACTCATAACCTCGGCTTCACAGCTTCCTCCAGCTGAGAGAAGCGGCCACTAGCACATCCTAACAGGAACCGTGAGAGGAACCATGTTGGCCAGGATCTAGGCAGAGGAGATGGTGGCTCCCTCAGCAGGGGTGAGTGAGGAGAGCTGAACAAAGGCCCCAAGTGGGCGGGAAAAGAAATCAACAAGGTGGGACAAAGCCTCTTGGGACTGGCACCGTGACCATTCTGAGGCCTGAAGTGACAGGGGCTGGGGCAATCACCGGGAAGGGGAGGCCTATAGTTACAGGAGAGTCATTGACAGCCTGTGACCTTCGGTAGAGCCTTGCCACTGCCCCGCGGAGAGAGAACAAGTTGGGCAACCACCCCACCCTCTCTCTCCTTCCACCCTCTGGTCTCCTGCCAGGGCCTCCCATTGCCCAAACCCAGTGAGAAGCCAGAGAACGAGGGGGCTGGTTAACGCAGTCCATTGAGATCAGCCTCCAGGCCACAGCGCAGGGTGGAAGGGGGCTCTGGAGGGAACGTGGAAGACATCCAGCACATAATCACTCTCCATGGAGGCAGAAAGGAGTTTACACTAGTTTCTATAAGAACCTGACAGGCCATCAAAGCCTTTGGAAAATGCCCTTCATTATAATCACAGGTAGAAGCTAGATTGACAGACCCACCCTGGTGAGAGAACAACAGTCCCAAGAACCAACAAGCGACATTTACCCGCTGATGGGAAACAGTGGAGGGCTCACCCTTTTACAAGGTTCTGACTACTCCCATGGCCCGCTGTGAATTTACCACGGTCTGTTTGCTAACAGTGAGTTTAAACCTGAGACAGTAGGGAAGCAAGACTTGGACAAGTTCAGAAACTCTCCATGAAGCAAGGCAGAAGTAACTATAGTTGGTGTATTTGTTTTAAAGATTTTACTTATTTATTCATGAGAGACAGAGAGAGGCAGAGATACAGGCAGAGGGAGAAGCAGGCTCCATGTGGAGAGCCTGATGTGGAACTTGATCCCAGGACCCTGGGACCACAGCCGGAGTCAAAGGCAGAAGCTCAACCACCGAGCCACGCAGGCACTCCATAACTGTTGTTAACACAAAGACATGGAGGATGGGGATCCCTGGGTGGCCCAGCGGTTTGGCGTCTGCCTTTGGCCCAGGGCGCGATCCTGGAGACCCGGGATCGAATCCCACGTCGGGCTCCCAGTGCATGGAGCCTGCTTCTCCCTCTGCCTGTGTCTCTGCCTCTCTCTCTCTGTGACTATCATAAATAAATAAAAAATTAAAAAAAAAATTAAAAAAAAAAAAAAGAAAAAAAAAAAAAAAAGACATGGAGGATGGAATCAATGGCTCATCCCCAGCCAGGGAGGTCCTTTGGATTGGCCTTGGAACTGATCTGTCTACCTGGGCTTCTGAGGCCTGGGCCCTTCCCGACTCCCAAACCTTAGTCCTCTGGGCCACCTTAGCCAACGCTCCGTGCTGTTCACTCCTGTTAAACAGGTTCTCTTGTTGAGAAGCTGGGTAGCTGGTGCCAAAAAAAGACATATTCAAAGAAAGAGACAAAACCAAAAAAAGTCTAGAACTGACTTCCACTCAGTCCAGGTCTCACTTAACCTCAATTAACTTGCTAACTCACTCACTCACTCACTCACTCACTCACTCACTCACTTATTCTCTTATGCATTTTTCTCACTTAGGTTGGTTGGTTCGTTTTTGCTTTTCCTTGATTATAAAAATCACAAACACATAAAAACCTGCTATAATTAAAATTAACATTTAGCTGTCTTTTTTTTTTTTTTTTTTTGCTATTAAAGTACTCATGCCCCGGTACTGGGCCTCAGAGATTGACTTAATTGATCTGGGATGGGGCCAGGTATCAAAATACACATAAGAGTTTAACTTTTATTTTTTAAAAGATTTTATTTATTTATTAATGAGAGACACACACACACACAGAGAGATGCAGACAGGCAGAGGGAGAAGCAGGCTCCATGCAGGGAGCCCGACACGGGATTCGATCCTGGGTCTCCAGGATCATGCCCTGGACTGAAGGCAGCGCTAAACCGCTGAGCCACCTGAGCTGCCCAAGAGTTTAACTTTAAAAACACATATTGAGTGCCTATTGTATATCAGATACTATGCTGGAGATACCTAGGTGCCCAAGACCAATGCAGTCACTTCCTTCTCATGGGAAGAACATGGTGAGGGTACCCCCAGTACCCCCAAAGGATGAGAATGAGGGATGTGCCGTCACAAAGAGATCTGACCAACTCTCAGGACCAGAGAAGCTTCCCTGAGGAAGAGACATTTAAGACCAGGAAGGAAAAAGAGGAGGGAGCCCTCTATCCATGTGCCCTGGAGGGCAAAATCTGAGACATTAGGAACAGACACCTGACTCAAAATCCGATCCAGACTGCAGTCATGCCCATTGGATGTTGAATCAGCATGGTCAATGGCTTCGAGGGTGTGGAGGGGCTCAGACCAGAGTGTTTCCCTGGTTTGGCTCAATGTATCGGAGTCGGGGAAGAGTGAATGCTGACCATAGGCCCTAACATTGAAATCTGATTATCCCCCATCTCTCAGACACTGGGTGGTTTCTGTAGGCCCCACAGGGCCAAGGCTTATTAGTAGACTTCCAGCTGCTATATTAGGACCTCTTACAGGCAGTGTGCAGAGTGGCCCCATGAGGTAGAAACAGCTGGGGGGCCCCAAGCACTATGAGGCTCAGCACTTTGGGGCTGCTGGCACCTGGTGGTCCAATCCTAGGCTTGTCAGGGCTTGTGGCAGCTCAACCCTCCCTCCTTCCTGACTCAAAGATGCCCAAAAATTAAGCCCACCAGGCATCCATACCCACTGTGAGTGCTGCAGGAAGGATGAGTCCTAGGTGCATGCTCCTTAACTGGGAAGTAGGCCTCATCCTTGATTCTGGTCAGGGCACTCAGTTTTGAGTGGCAAGGAAGAGCTCAAAGTAATATTCCAAGTTCCAAAATGGGCCAGGAGAAAGCAGGCTGAGGAACAGTGGAGATCACAGATTGTACACTTAAATGCCTTCGAGGCCAGGCAGGTTGCAAATGGTCGGAATCCTACGAGAGTCATTACAACATAGTGGTGGCAATGCAGGCAAAACGGAGAGTACTTTCCGCAGCTGAAGAAGTTCATGTTCATCCTTCCTTCCTTCCTTCTTTCCATCCTTCCTTCCTTCCAACCAGAGCGCATCCTCAGGCCAGATTCAGCTGATTGACTACTAATTGCTGATGCTTGGTTTAGGGCAGTGGTTCTCAACGATGGGTGCCCCCAGATGAGTAGCATCAGCATCACTTGGAGACTTGTTAGAAACACACATTCTCTGGCCCCACCCCAGACCCACTGGATCAGAATCTGGGGGAGGGGGAGAGGTGGTGCCCAGGAGCTATGTTTTAAAAGTCCCTTTCTGTAATTCTGATGCACATTCAAATGGGAGTCACTAGCGTCAAAGTCATGACTGAATGGGCCACTATCTGGGCCAAAATTACACATTTTTTGTCATTCTGTCATCTGTACATACATTTGTTGAGCACATACTGTATACCAGGTGCTGAGCCAGCCACGAGGAGCACAGGAGCAAACGAGACACATGTGGTCCTTGCCCTGCATCCTATCTTTCATTCTTGCCTCTTCTTGGCTATTTTTGTTTTGCAAAATACCACACCCCCACATATTAGCTCATTTTGCTCTAACACCTTGGGGAAACAGGCCTGATAAAGGTTACTGCCCCCTTTTTATAAATGGAGTCACTTTGACCATGTACAGTTAAAACTCTGCCTGAAGTCTTAGTGCTCGATGGCCCCCAGGCTGCCCATTCCAGGGGCCCAGGCCCACTGCGTGACGAAGATGTGCTTCTGCCAGCTTTGCCCTGCAGCAGAGGAGGGTCTCAGCGGGCCTCTGGCTGTCATTGCTCTGAGGCACAGGCCTGGCTTTACTCCATCTCAGCCACGGACAGATGTCCTTGGACACATGCAGCCACCTAATCACCCTCACACCCGGGAGCATCTCTTGAACACATTTGAAGACTTGATAGAACATTCAGCCAGGCTGTCTGCTTCCTTTGAGTGGATTCTATTGAGAATTTCCGTAGGTAGCAAATCTCTTGGCCAAAATGAATATTAACGAAATGAAGTGGGGCGGGGGGCAAGAGATCAGAAAGAAAAACATCTGGCAGGCAGCCTGCGTGCTCCAGGGCTCCTGTCCATGGCTTCACAAGCCCCCTCCCTCACAAGCCTCCCCGCCCTTCCCACCCCCCACTTACACTGCATCATGGGTGCCAATGCCCCCCATGGCAGATCAGGGAAGGAGGGTCAAGGACACTCCAAAACCTAGCTCATTTTGCCCTTGCCGAACAAATGCTCTGGAAGTCTCTAACAAGTCCCTCCCACTTGTGGCTCAGAGCATGAGCCGACTCTGAGTTCACTAGCAAACGCATTCTCTGATTGGGCAGCCCAGCCCCTCTATGCAGCATCACAAGCTCTGCAAAAGGGCACACATCAAGGAGCCTGGCCGCTGAGATTTATGGCGCCGCGTGACAGGTTCCCTCCCACAGACCAGAGAAGAGACACAATCTGCTAGAAGTGACTTTTCAAATTATCTGCAGAAAACATTAGTGGATATTTTCCCATCTGCATGCCTCCGGGCTTTATTGAGTCATAAAAAGTAAATGATTTCCCTGAATGCTTTGACAAACCCAATAGTTCCAAGCCATTTTCTAGCTGATTGATTTGCCATCATGCATCAGAGTGTCTCTGAGCATCAAGGCTTACTGGCGAAGAGAGTGCTGGACGGAACACCAGTGGCGGCTTGCAAGAGGCCACCGCCAGCGCCAGCGAGAAAAGCCAATGAAGGACAAGCCTCAGTGTGTGGGGAGAAGCTGAAGGGTAGGTTAGGAAGGCTTCCGAGACAGGTTGCCAAGGAGGCACAGACTCAGGGGGAAGGTGGGAGGAGGCGATTAGAAAAAAAGTGAAAACAAGCTACTTCCTCTCTGCCTGCTCTAGACCAAGGTTAGAAGAGCACAGAAAACATGGCCAAAGTCTAAAAATAGGATGGGCCTCCTATTGCTAAGGACAGTTGACTAGAGCCTTAGGAGGGCAGAGAGGCATTGAGCCATGACCTTGGGGCCAGTGGGCGAGATCCAGAGTTGGACCCAACTCAGAAGGAAGAACGCATCAATTCTTGCTCAATTTGGGCACCTTGGGACACCTGGGTGTCTCAGTGGTTGAACGTCTGCCTTTGGCTCACGGCGTGATCCCGGGTCCTGGAATCGAGTCCTCCATCAGACTCCCCGCAGGGAGCCTGCTTCTCCCTCTACCTATGTCTCTGCCTCTCTCTGTCTCTTGTGAATGAATGAGTGAGTGAGTAAATAAATAAATAAATAAATAAATAAATATCTTTAAAAAAAAATCAGTGCACCTTTCCTGGCAGCCATTTCATCCTGGAAGAGGTGTGTCCTGCACTAGCTTCCTGAGCTGCCCTGGATGGAATGGGAAGGAAGGGAAAAGCACTGAGGCGGCCCCTGGGTCAGGTCTGAGCTTCAGTCATCCTGGGGAAACAGTCGCACTTCTGACCTCTCCCCAGGGTGATGCAGAGTCTCCCAGAGGCTTCCCAAGCCCCATCCTTTACCCATGGGCATTCGATAGGAAGACGGGTGGGGAAACAAAGCAGCCGATGGGGAGGAGTTATTGCTAATGGCTCCTAATTTATTGAAGGTCTAGGAAGGGTCCCCAGGGTGAGGCCTTGGAGAACGACTGCTGCCAAGGAGCTAAGGACACAGGAGCTGTCAGCAGCCAGACAGCCAGGTCCTCCCTGGGTACCTCCTTATGTTGCAAGCACCAGTGAGAAAAATAAAACACAACCCACCCACCGAGAAAAAGCAAAAATATTAACAGGGGCAAGATGCGGTATACAAAAGCAAGAGTTAGCAATCAGGGAGTGAAGAAGTGATTAGAACAAATGGGGTTCATCGGGGAGGCTTCTGCAAAGAGGTGACATTGTGACAGCTGGAAAAGAAGCTGTGAACACACAGCCTGTGGATGGTGAGGGGGTGGGGGGCATTCAAAACAGAAGCACGAAACAAGCTAACTGACCAAATGAGAAAGAGATGAGCCAAGGCCCTGAGGTTCACAGTCCATCTAGGACTCCACCAGGCACACGCTCACTGTCCGGGAGTTAAATAATAGACCAGCCAGGGTTGGGGGGCCCCTGGTGAGACCATCATTAAGCCCAATTACAGATAGAGAAACATACAGACCTAAAGCCTGGGGCCTCTTCTCTGGACAGACGAGGGATCTAGGAAAATAATATGCCCTGTGGTGTCTGTGTTCCAAATTCTCCCACAGAAAAGTTTGCCTTCCTAAGACACACATCTCATTATGTTTACTCCTCTGCTCAGAGGCCACTGGCTACACACACACACACACACACACACACACACACAGCATGACATCCAGACTCCTGGCCTGACAGGTCCCACCTTCCCATCTCCCCAGCTCATGCCAAAAATATTTTTTAAATCCAAAGCAAACACCTTCCCCATATACTCTAGCCACGCTAGTGAGTAGGGAATGTTGCCCACACATGCTCTGCTCCCTCCTCCCCTGTGCCTTTCTGGCATTCCGTGCCTCAGTTTGGAAGGCCCTCACCAACCTTCAGAGCCAACCAAAGGCCCTCCCATCCTTTAAGGATCATCCAAGAGGCCTTCCCTGTGTCAGTAAACCTCTCTTCCCCTGTGCGTCTCCACTGTAGCATGTGACACCTCCAGCTGGGACTAGATGGGCTCCCAGCAGGTTGCGGGGACCTTTTGCCTCAGGTTCCCCACAACACCCAGCTCAAGGCTTTGACATGTAACTGCCCAATAAATGTTCACAGCATGGGACTGAGCCTGGAGCATGGAGCCTTTCCAGGGCATCCTCCAGTAGGTAGTAAAGAATTCCAGAATGACAGCCTAGCTTCTACCCTGAATCCCCTCTTGCTCCATCCTCTGATCCCCAAGGACAGGCTGTTGTCCCTGTTGTCTTGCCACCTGGTACCCTTGCCACCCTGCACCCTGTGATATTTTTGTTGTTGTTTATTTATTGTTGTTGTTGATTCTTTATCCTTTTTTTCCTCCCTCCACCCCATGATTTAGATCACGAATATTTTATAAATAAACTTAAAAGTCTCTTTTCCATATTTAAGGCACAAAATGAGCTGATGAATTCAGGTTTGTACCTGGTACTGCTGCTTCACCTCTACGAGCAGAGGTTTGCAGAACTCATGAGACTCAATTACAATGGAGTTGCAAGAGAGAGGGTGAGTCTGGCTCTGATGCGGCCCATCAGGCAGCAGCACCCCTCCCCCTGCCCTGACCTTGCAGAGTTGTTTATTAAGTGTGCAATCTGTTGAGGTCTTCATGGTCACTTGCTAGGATATGGCACTGTCATCATCAGGACTATGATATAGTGTATACACTGGGTAAGTGTGCTCACAGTAGCCTTCTGGCTGAAAAAGTGATAATCACACAATAGCTTACTATTAAACATGAGTAGTAATTAAGTGGCCATTAATGGTCATAAAAGCAAGGGAGTCTCTAGGGATATTTGCCCCCCAAAACAAAAGTCAGCAAAGCTGCTGGGACTGTGCATACATGGATGGGCATGCCTACTGCCCAAGCATGGAGGGTCCCCGAAAAACAGGGGCCTCCCTTTGAGGAGAACTGTTTGTTTTGCTTTGCTTCCCAGAGTTTGTGATTTCAGCATCTGTGTGGTGAATGCCAAGAAACAAAGGTGCTGATGGGGGTTCCCTTTGTCATTAGGGAAGTGACAATATGTTTACCAGGGATCATCATCTGTGGCTGCCTTTCCTTTGACAAAGAGAACCAGGAGCCTTCCAGGAGGTCAGGTAGTTTGGGGAGAGAAGCCTGGCTCTTCCACTAACCGGATCCCGGCCCCAGCAAAGTCCACCACAATGTACATTCGGCCACTGTCGAGTCAGAACGCAGAGCCCCAAGGGACTTGCCTCTTGGCAAAATGCCTGTCTGCAGCCAGGCCAGGAAAGGGCACTCACTGGTAGGACAAGGGTACCCTCCCCCCTTACCTTATCTTAACACCATGCCAGGGACTGATGCTTCTAGTGTTTAACACCCCTTCAGCCTTGAAACTCAACCCCTGCCCACATCAGGAGGTCAGGACTGGCAAGCAAGCCAGTGTGGCAGCGGGCAAGCCGCAAGGCAGTTCTAGTGACTCTGCCTCCCAATCCCAGGTACCTCTCTTTCTCTTGACTTTCTCTTCTCTGCCTCCTGCTTCCCGTCTTTCTTCATGTCTCTCTCTTCTTCCTCCGGTGGATAGGAGGCACCTGCCAGCACCGGTCGCTGCCCAGAGGCTGGAGCCCAGTGATTTCACAGTTTCCTGACATTGTCGCAAACCTTGCAATGATAGCAAGCTGCTGGCATCCATTTAGAGCCATCCCTATGGAAAATGCTGGGTTCAAAAGTCCTAAGAATTCGATATTTGTCCCTACTTTTAATTTTTTTCTGGCATAAATTCTCCACTTAGACCCCAAGCTCTCAATTAAGAGAACAGGCTGGGTCTTGGCCAAGGTATCTCCGCAGGAATCTCACCCTCTTTTTGACCCAGGCCTGTCCTTCCTTTAACTCTTCCATAGTTTTAATGGTGACATAAATTCCTCAGAGAAATACATAAAAAAAAAAAAGGGAAAAATGTACAGGAAGCAGGAAATGATCCTTTGTTAACATTTCCATAACCTTATTTTCATGATTCCCCATCTTTTTTAATGAACTTTTTATTGCACATTGAACTTCAAAGCGCCCAGGGTTTGATACAGGTTACAGATGGCCATGACGTCAACAAGCTAATGTAAGCAACGCTGGCCTCTGGGACTGCAGAGCAAGCAACATGCAGCACAAGCCAATGGGTGGAAACCAAGGCCCTAAAGCACTAGGTATAAAGAAGTTTCTGGTAAAACTATCCCAGAGAAGGAGTAAGTGACACCGGGAACACTCTGGGCACCAAGTCGGGAGGAAGCAGGAAAGACTGGGCAACACTCTTAAAGTTTACCTTTAATTTGAGAAACCCTGAAATAGACCTCACGCACTAAACCCACCAAGCGATAACCAGTACAAATAGCCAGTGAAGATGGACCCAAATGGAAGCAGGGAAACAAATGGCTTTTGTCAAATTCATGCTCTTCTAGATTTGAGTCTCAGTATCTTCTTGTAGAAAACACTTAGAATCTGAGGATAACAGCAAAAAAAGAGGCACTGTGTTGGGAAAACAAACAACAAACGCTTCTCTCTCCCTATCAGAACTGGAGAACCCATTCACATTGGGCTCCTTGGTTGTGTCTCATTAGGACACTTGGTGATGAATGTTTGCCCATGATGGCAATCATTCATTCACTCATTCATTCATGCCCTGGCCTGTATCAGGTGCTGAGATGGGGATCCGGGAAAGTGGCTACAAGACACGATGCCATGCTGTCCCATTCTTTGAGAAGCCTCTGAACAAGTTGGAAGAGAAGACTCACATATTTATAAAGACAAGAAGTAACTGGAAAGTAGCACTTGGATCAAGAGAACCAGTGGACCCAGTGAATTCCCAGAGGCTATGAACTGACAACACAAGATCTTCCCTGGCTGGGACTTCCTGGCATGTCCAGTGATCCCATAAACAAACAGTTTGTCTCCTTAGCGAGGTTGTGAGCTACCTGAAGGCAAAGCTGGGCCTTCTACACCTGTGCCATGATGCTGGGCATACAGTGAATCATACTCGTTGACCATGTCCCAGGCAATGTGAATGCCAGGAGCATGGAGTGATTACAAAAATGCGAAATAACTGGGAAATGAAGACATGGTCTGCTAAGGGTTGGGGACAGAGGGGGTCACAGGCAACTTGGACTTGGAACTCTTATCTCTCTTTGTACCCCACCACCCTCCAGGGCCTAGAAAATACCTGGCACATAGTGCTCATTAACCTTTGATGCCTAAATCAACGAACTATTAAACCAAAACCTGCTTCTCCAGGAAGTGAGTCTTGAGTTATGTTTTGGAGAAAGTGATAGTCCAAATTTGTGGAGAGAACAGTATTCTAGGTAAAGGAACACTCTCAGGTTCATGGTATAGATATATTTATTCAAAGATTTTCTGCGTGCCTAATATGTGCCAGGTTCTAAACTAGATTCTGAGACTACAAAGATGATTAAGATACTCCTTACCTACAAGGGACTCTGAGTCTAAAGAGAGACAAACATGTAACCAAGAGTATCAAAAAATGTGCCTTGTGTTATGACAGAAGATGGAGCCAGATGGGGAAGAGCACAGAGCAGTGAGGTCACCCCTTCCTTCCACTCCTTCAGGACAGACTGTCCAGGCAGGGTCTTCAGAGACCCAAACTAACATTTCAGAGGCCTTGCTTTTAATCTGGTTGGGTTGTACTCTTTGCCATCAGCCTTCTCAAGGCTTGGAGCGCCTGGTAGCAAGGCTGCTTCCACTCCTGCTCTGGTCACCTGATCCGCTGAGGAGGTGATAGTTTGAACCAAATCTTGGAGTTTAGCAAGCAGACAAGGGGTGGTGGTGAGGGAAAGGGCGTTCCATGCAGAAGGAGAGGCAAAGGCTTAGAGGAGTGAGGACCTGCCTATTGAGAGAGTCAAGGAGTTGAGTGTGGCTGGAGCCGGTGGGAAGGGAGTGTGGAGGTGGAGGCAGGAAGCAGGATATGGAGCGTTTGTGTGCAGCTCTGGGAGGCCACTGAAGGTTTCCGGCCTGAGATGGGCAGGCCAGGAGATTTGCATTTTTGAGTGAAAACTGGAGCAGCTACACGGAGAATGGGCTGGAGGGAGAAGAAAGCAGCCAGCTGCTGCTGCAATGGGGCAGGTGAAGGAGACCCCTGTGGGGGCCCTGGAGATGGAAAGGGACACAGGGCGGTCCTGTGAGGTGAAGCTAAACAGACTTGCCTTCCCTCACCTCTCCCCCTTTCAGTCCCCAAGTGGGATGCTCCACTATTCAGGGTCTGCACCCCCAAAGTCCCGTCTTGGGCTTCCTCTTAGTGATAGGTTTTGTCTATACCTGCTCCCTGTTTCCCCAATGAATGGTACTGTACCCTGAATTCCTCTCCCTGCCTGCCCTATGCCCCTTAAATGCCTACTTCAATAAACTAGGTAAAACAGGAGAAAGGACCTCTGTCCATGGGCTGAAAGGCAAAGGACAGAGGGACCCCAGGCCTTACTGGGATCAGGACGGTGATCTGGAGCCAGCGCAGCCTGGGTCTTCTGCCCCAGGGATGCTGCATTAACATTTCACCTGCAGGGAGACTTCCACCTGTAGAAAACTCATAGTGGGGGAGGGGCAGGGGAGCAGAAGCTGGCCTTGGAGGCAGGCAGGGTCTCCAAGGAGCTCTGACACTCCACTGGCCTCCTTGTGCGTGAGACCACAGGGACTTTCTCCAGGTCTTCCCATTCACACTGTTTCTACAAACCCCCAAACTCTTGCCTCCAAGAACCAAATCTACCCACAATATCTGAGGCCCAGGCTTGGCCCTCATCTGGGAAAACTTCCCTACTCACCCAGATGGCATTTCCTGGAGGACTGAGAGCTGCCTGGCACATGGATGTGGTCATCTGGCCGGAGTCTAGAGGTGGGCTGAGGCGGGATGAGGCCGGCTGGGCAGCTGGGAGGGAAGGCGTTAGCACCGTCCTGATGTAGAACTTACCAGGTAACCGGGATGGCTCCTTAGAAGAAAATCCATCCTTCTCCAGCCCTCAGCCTGGCCTGCGGGTGACAGGGACCCAGGAGTCACAGCTGCCTCCACACTGGCCAGGAGTTGCCCCAGTAACAGTGTCTGGCACCCCTTGTTTTGTCCTCCCGCCTGTCACAAAGCCTCTCTTCTCCTGGGGGAAGAGCACCAGCCCTTCTGCAGGGGAGCCCACAGCCTTGCAGCCTGGCACAATGGGCTCCCACGGAGTGCACAGTGTTTCTCATTGTGGCATAAAATGCCATAAAGTCAGAACAAAGAGGGAGCCCAGAGCCTTGATGGGCCTGCTGCTTCCTGCCGGGCAGAGAATACAACTGATTGTTTAAAAGCCAGTGGTGAGGCAAGTGGCCAATTAGCACGGCCTTCACCCCCACAGCCTGTAAATGTGATTCGGACCCTCAGAATGGGATTCTGCTGTTCAGATCAATTGCCGAAAGGAAGCAGGTCTGCTCACACTGCCGAATTTAGAAGCCCTGAACCATGGGCGAAGGTGACCTGGGTTACCTCTGCGCTGTCTTTAGGACGAGGGTGAGCCCTGCAGGTGCCAAGTATCAACACTGCCCTTTGGCACCTCTGCCCCTCTAAGGGGAGGGAATGGGTTCCCAGAACGTTCCCGAGACCAGAGAATTATACATCTGTTCACAACTCCTTTGGGGAAACCATTCATTTTTCATTGTCTTCTTTCTCATAGTTGTCAAGAAATTACCCACAACCGAGACGGGAAGAAAATGAAAGTAGGTCTGGGGGTCAGTCCTGCCATTTTGAGGGTGTTTGCTAATTTACTCTTTCTCTGTCCCTGTGTGGAACCTCGTGTGGTGGAAGGAAGTAATGACCACTACCCAGAGGCAAAAATAGTCCCACAAAGCTCGGGAAGCTCTAGCTGCAGCACTCAGGAAGACGAGGCCCAAGCCCGCTGGATGCAGAGCAGATAAGAATTTTAATTCATCTTGAAAGCAAGGTCAAGGGCCAGTGAAAGGGAAGATGGTATTGTCAGGCAGTCACAGGATGACTCGTGGCAGGTTTTTTGTTTTTTGTTTTTTTTCCTTTTCCTTGGCTGGGATTTTCCAGCATCCAGTGCTCAGGGAGCCTCTTAGGTGATCTTCTAAGCCCTGGAAGGGTGCTGTGTAGCCACTACAGGGAGGGGCCACATTCATCCACCAGCTAGAGGTTGCGGTGGATCCTTCTTACCATGCGTGGGGGAGGGGGGTCAGGTAGGCCTGCTGGACCCAGAGGTTGAACAAGGAAAACAGGTCTCCTGAGAAAGGTACACCCGGCTCCAGGAGGCAGGACAGCTGTCTTCCATCAGGCTCGTTATCCCATAGAGAGCACCCAACTAAGAAAATGTGCTTGATTAAAGCAGGAGGGCTTGCAGCCAGACTGGAAAGAACTTACCCATCAGCAGGTAGAACAAACATCACAGTGGGCTGAGGCGGGTGTGACAATTCCATCTCCAGAAGTTCTTCAGGGGAGACATTTTACAACTGCCTGCCCTAAGGCAGGTGTAAGGTTTGGGAGAGGGATTCCCGCCCTGGCTCTGCCGTCAGAATCCACCTGGGGAATTTACCAAAAATGCAGGTTCCCGGGGTCCCTCCCGGAGATTCAGATGCAGACCCTGGGGTGGGCCCCTGGCGCGCCGGGCGCAGCGGGTCACGGTGGGGCGGTGGGGAGCCCCCAGCAGGCCCGCCCGGAGGAGAAGCTGGACCCGCTCCGAGCGCCCCAGGGTGGGGCCCAGATTTCGACCCTCGAGAACCCGATTTAGGATTCAGGGCACGCAGTGCTGAGAGCCCGGGCCGCCCGTTTCCAGAGACGCGGGGAGGAGGGGACGCCTGTCTCGGTTCACAAAGGGAGCCCGACCACGGTGTCCACCCACGCCCCGCGCCCCCGCCAGCCCCCGGGACCACTCGGGCCCCCCCTCCGGCGGCCGGGAAGGGAGCGGGCGGGAGGCAGCAGGGAGCTCCGGCAAAGACCTTTGTGTCTCGGGGAGAGCGCCTCTGCGCCGCGCTCGCGGGTCCCGGGGGCGGCCTGCGGCGGGAGCCCGGGCTCCGCAGGGGCGCGGCCCCGGGGAGGGGCGGGGGCCCGCGGCTCCGGGCAGGGTCTCGCCCCCCCCCCCCCCCCCCGCCCCGGAGGCGCCCGCGGCTCTTCCCGGTCCCGGGAAACCTGCCGCGGCCCGCGCGCCCCGCGCTCCGGCTGGCCGGGGGCGACCCCTAGTGCCCGGCGCCGGCCGCCGTCGCCCTGCTGGGCGGGGGACGCAGCCCTTCCCCGGAGGGTCTGGGGCCTCCGAGCCCCGGCTCAGGGAAGCCGGCCCCCTCTGGAGGGCAGAAGAGCATCCCGGGGGCGCCGCTTAAACCGAGTCCCCACGGAGGAGCCCCGCGGGCCCTCCCTGCACGCGCCTGGCGCTGCGCTGCTGCCCCCCTGCGTTGCTCAGAGGCACACGGTCCCACCGACCGCCACTTGCCGTCCTCTTCAGGACGGGGACTAGCTGTAGGAGCCGCCCCAATGCGGGGGCAGCCAGGTCTCCCACGGACGCCCCCCCCCCCGCCCCGGGACACTGGTGGAGGAGAGCCCGGCGCAGAGGGCCTGTCCTGGCACACTGGTCGTGCAGCCCTCGCCTGGCTGCCGCCAGGGCCGAGATCAAGACAAGCCAGGGCAGCCAGAGGCAGAGGCGCCTGCCTCCCTCCCCGCTTAGCCCCTGGCCACACTCTTCTCTGGTCCCCAGCAGCCTGGCGTGCCTCACCTGGTTGGCAGCGCTTTGGCAAGATGGGCTGTTGTCAGAGCTGAGTCACAGCTGTGACCTGCTGCCCTAGCTCAGTTCAGGTCTAAAGAGAGGAAAAAGACAAAACACCTGGGCCTACCAGGGGGCACGAGGAGACGCCAGCCTCTTCATGGCTCCGTGGTGCCCTTGCCAGGCTTCTCACTGGGGCCCCCTCCCCTGCATCTGGAACACACAAATGCCACAGGTGGCGCCAGGTAAAAGCAGCTGGGGAGAGTTCCTGGGTGGGTGTGCCCAGGTCTGACAACTTGCCACATGGCTCTGTGACCCAACCCTCCTAACGGCTGCGTCCCAGCTGGCACAAATGACTGTCACCACAGTCCAAAGCCTGGGAGGGGAACAGTGCCTCCCGCAGCCATTCATCAGGTGTGGACAGGAGCAGGCTTGAGGGTCCTCGCGCTAAAGGCAGGGTCAGACCACCTCACCCCCATACACACAAGTCAAGACAACTAGTTTTGGGGAACAGAACAGGATAGGCAAGGGGCAGCTCGTGGGGCTGGGGCTTCCTTGTAGCAGAGGTAGAGGCTGAGAGGGTCCTCATAGGAATGGGGGGATGTCCATTGCTCCTGCTCCTTATCTTTCAATGGTTTTCAGATAGTCAGGGAGCACTCATGCAAGCCAATGGGAAAAGTATATTGAGAACAAGAGTTTCCCCCAAGAATAAAGACTGCCCCCCCATGCCCCACTCCTCCACTCGGATCCCACTGTCATCTTCCTGCCTCTTTGCCCCCCTTGCTCCCATCACGTGACCCTCTACCTCCAGTCATTTGATCTCTGAAAGATTTCTTGAAGACCTAGGTCAACCCTCCCCCCACTGCCCTGCCAAATTAAGGAAGGGAGAGTGTATAGAGGGGGGCAGTACCCTGAGGGGCTCCTCCAGGGATTCAGCCTGCAGACATTTGCTGCCCCAGGTCAGGGGAGGAGTGGACCTGGGTGCTTTTGTTGAGGGGCTCACAGCCCCTGTGCCCTGGCCATTTGAGGATTCCAGAGACAGCTGACCTCTGTTGCTGACACTGTTGCCCAGGACTGGGGGGGGGGGGGGCAGGAAGGACAGCCCAGCCACACACCCTCACTGGCAGAGCTCAAGGTTCACCTTGGCTCCCCGGCCTGAGACACCTTCTTGCTTTCCAGATGCTGAGCTGGGGGACGGACGTGAAAGCAGCAGCCACGCTGTCTAGCACAGGGGCTGGCCCCGGAGCCCTGCGGAGACATCTCCCCTTGGAGGCTTTTTCTGTGTTCCCATGCGCCTCCCTCCCCTCTCCTCTTTACTGAAACTGAAGCGTTGACAGTTACCGTTTTCACCTCGCGCCCCTCTCCTCTCAGGGTCTGGCCTGAGCAACAGGACAGCAGCAACCACGCGGTCCCTGAAAGCCTGCAGCCTGGGCTGGATGAGTCCCCGCCCGCTGCCCTGCAGCTGCCTTTTGGCCCAGGGGACCCCAGGTGACCCGGCAGCCTGGAGGCCCTCCACGGAGGGCACCTGTTCAGGCCTCACTCCACCCCGAGTGGACTCGAGCTGTATCTGCAGTAAAACGACTTTATGCACCAGCTTCCTTCTGTGCTCTTTTCCATCTCCCTGAACAAAGAAAGGCTCAGGGCCTCAAACTCAGGGGAGAAGGAAGGGGATTTCAGCCCACACCCTGCCTCCACTTCTCCTCTCTCCCCGCCATCACTACGCTGAGGGGTCACACATCCTGGGCCCCGGGGATTGTGACAGGCTGTGTGGCCAGCTGCCCCTGTACGTACCCACTTCGAGTGGGCGTGGTATGTGGACGCCACACTACTCTCCTCTTTATACCTTAGGGCCCAAAGATCAGATCAAGGCATGAGGTTAAAAAAAAAAGAAGAAGAAAAAAAAAAAGCCTGGGTGGCTCAGTCTGTGAAGCATCCAACTCTTGATCTCAGCTCAAGTGTTGATCTCAGGGTGGGGAGTTCAAGCCCTGAGTTGGACATTAAAAAAAAAAAAAAAAAAGTCAGAGAAGGTTAGTGAGAAAACTGTGTGTATATAAGAGAGAGAGACAAAGATGGTCAAAAAATATAGAGGGGAGCACTGATACATGCAAAAACATTATGCTAAGTGAAGGAAGCCAGACTCAAAGACAACACAGCGTATAAATCAATTTACAAGCAATTTCTAGAAAAGGCAAAACTCTAGGGACAGATCAGTGGTTGCAGGGTTGGGACTAGGAGCAGAGACTGTCTGCAGATGGGCTCAGGAGATCTGGTGATGTGGCTGCTCTACAGCTGCTGTCCCCTGGTGGGACAAACTTAAAAAGCTCACTGAACTGAGCACTCGCAATGGGTGAGCTCTATGATACACCTCAATAAATTTTCTTTTAAAATGGAGGGAGGCGGGATGCCCAGGTGGCTTAGCAGTTTAGTGCCTGCCTTCAGCCCAGAGCATGATCCTGGAGTCCCAGGATCAAGTCCCACATCAGGCTCCCTGCATGGAGCCTGCTTCTCCTTCTGCCTGTGTCTCTGCCTCTCTCTCTCTCTTTCTCTCTCTCTCTCATGAATAAATAAAAATCTTTCAAAAAGTAAAAATGGAGAGAAGGACAGAGAATGAGAGAGAGAAGAGACAGAAAGGGATAATGAGGAAAAATAAGTGCTTCTCCCTCCCTCTTTTAAGACCAGGAGTGGCCACAGCAGATTTTGCAGCCAAGAGGACTTCGCCCAAGATGAACAGTGGTGCCAGCACGGTTTTAGGAAGTCTGGAATTAATTGAATTCCCTCAAAATCTTATCCATCCATGACATGCTCCACAGTTAAAGTGACTCTATTCCTGCAAACTGGTAGATGTAGCCAGGCAGCCTAGATCCCAGATCCAAGAGCCAAGCAAAGGGACACCCTCAAATGTTAACAGAACCTACAAGGGCCATTCCAGTTGAAAATATCTCCCTGATTTAAAAAAAAACAAAAAAAAAAAACAAAAACAAAAAAAACCTAAAATCTCAGATTCTTCCATTCACAAACACAGCCCCCAGCCCTAATCATTCTA